AAAGGAAACTAGACCACCAACTTACACCATACACAAGAATAAACTCAAAATGGATGAAAGACTTAAATGTAAGTTGTGAAACCATAAAAGTCCTAGAAAAAACCATAGGAAGCAAAATCTCAGACATCTCTCATAGTAATATGTTTATGGATACATCTTAGGGCAAAGGGAACTAAGGAGAAAATAAACAAATGGGACTACATCAAAATGAAAAGCTTCTGCACAGCAAAAGAAACCATCAACAAAACAAGAAAGCCCACTGCATGGAAAACATATTTGGCAATGATCCATCTGATAAAGGGTTAATTTCCAAAATATATAAGGAACTCATGCAACTTAAAGAAGGAAAACAAACAATCCAATTAAAAAATGGCAAAGGACCTAAATAGACATTTCTCCAAAGAGAACATACAGATGGCCAAGAGACATATGAAAAAATGCTCAAAGTCACTGATCATCAGAGAGATGCAAATTAAAACGACAATGAGGTATCAACTCACACCTGTCAGAATGGCTACCATCAACAAATCAACAAACGACAAGTGCTGGCGAGGATGTGGAGAAAAGGGAACCCTCGTGCACTGCTGGTGGGAATGCAGACTGGTGCAGCCACTGTGGAAAACAGTATGGAGTTTCCTCAAAAAATTAAATATGGAACTGCCATTTGACCCAGTGGTCCCATTTCTAGGTGTATATTATAAGAAACCCGAGACACCAATCAGAAAGAATGTGTGCACACCTACGTTCATAGCAGCACAATTCACAATAGCTAAGGTCTGGAAACAGCCCAAGTGCCCATCAGTAGATGAGTGCATAAAAGCTGTGGTACATTTGCACCATGGGATACTATGCAGCAGTAAAGAAGAAGGGTCTCTTACCCTTTGAGACAGCATGGAGCCTGGAGAGTATCATGCTAAGTGAAATACGTCAGTCAGAGAAAGACAAGTATCACACGATCTCACTCATGTGGAATCTGAGTAACAAAATAAACTGATGGACGGAGTGGATCCGGAGACATGGAAGCATGGAACAGAGTGCGGAGTCTCGGAGGGAAGGCGGGGGGAGGGTGGGAGGTAATCAGCCAAAGTCTTTGTCGGCATATATGCATAACCCATGGACAGGGACCACAGGGTGGTGAAGGTGTGGTGTGGGGGCCGGGAGTGGGCTGGAGGGGGTCAATGGGGGAAAAGGGGGGACATATGTACTGCTTTCAACAATAAAGTTTTTTTTTTAAACAAGGCCATCAAAAATTTTGGTTGCCTCCCCCCTCAAAAAAAATCGGGAGAGAGGTCATAACAATAAAGATTAAAAAACAAAAAACAAGCAGAAATAGCTACAAAAAATAAAATAAAATGAAATAAATAATAAAGTAGTTACTTGATACTTCAAAAAAAAATAGAGCCTGGATTCCGCCATGCCTAAAACGGACCCAGGCAGGCCTGTGCGATCCACAAGCAGGGGTGAGTAGTGGCTGTGAAGTAAGCCCACGGTGTCCCCGCTCGCAGACTCAAGCCAGCACAGAAAGCCGCAGACCTGCCATGTCCGCAGCCCAAGCATCCGCCCTGGGCCTGCAGGACAGCGCTCTGCCAGACCCCATCCCAGCCCCTCTGCCCTCAGTCATCTCCCTCCGCAGGAGGGCCCCGTGTGCACACTGGCGTGCCTACCTAGCCAGTCCTTCCAGGAGTCTAACCTTAGAGGCTTGGAAAACCCTGCCTAGAGCAGAGGGAAGGTCTGCTTAGCCACCAGGAGACTCAGGCTGATGGGAGGGGCTGCCAAGGCCAAGGGAGGCAGCAGAGGGGCCCGCCAGGAAGTACCCTTTGGACCCGCTACCCCCTGAGGGCTGAGCAGCCTCTGCCTGATGCCCCTAAGATCACCTGCTGAGATTGCCATTGGCTGCGTCACTGTGGCCACTTAGAAACCTTCATGGGCCCAGGGCGGGGAGTCTGAGAGTCAGGTTCTGAGCTGATGGGCCTTTGCCCAGAGCTCCAGGCTCATGGTGCACCACCACCTCCCCTGCCGTGTCTGTGGATGCCCAGCAGACACCTCACGGCACCATTGTCCTCTGTCTGCAGCCCTGCTCAGCCAGCTGGTGGCAGCCCTGTGCTGCCTGTGGCTCAGGCCAAATGCCTGGGGTTGCCTTTAGGCTGCGCCCTCTATTACAACCTTGTCTGTGGCCTGTACTGTCCCTTAGTCTGGGAGTCAGGAAGTCACTGCTGGCCTCTGAACTGCCCTGGGGTCTACTTCCTTGGCCTGAGCCACGGCCCTCCCTCAGCTGGACTCCATGCTGCCACGCTGTGTCCTGAGCACACCAGACCTGCTTGCCCCAGGGCCTTTGCACTTGCTTCTCTGCCTGCCTGCTCCTCCCCTCAGGGCCCTCAGGGCCCACTCCCTTTCCCCATCTTCCTCCCTGCTTGTTTCTCCACACTTATCACCCTGTGTATTATTTTTCTGTCTCCTCCACTAGAATGAAATTCCCACGAAGGTGGGAACATGAGTCAGTCTGTGTTGCTGCTGCCTGCCTCCCCAGACCTAGCTCAGGCCCCGCACACAGTAGGTCCTCGGGAAACCTCCCTCATTCTCCGGTTCCGAGGACTTGCACTCTGAGCAGACCTCCAACCCTGCAGGCTTCCTCAGTGTCCCAGCACCTACTGGCCCCACCCACACTCAGGCCTCTCCTGCCTCTTTCACTACTGACCAGGAGCCACAGCAGGAAGGTGAGGCCAGGCAGGAGGAGGAGGGTGACTCCCCTCGCCCACATGGCCTCTACCCTAGCCAGGCCCAGGAGGGCTCCCCCGCAGGTGCTCCCTGGGAGGGGAGAGAGAGCCCCAAGTCCTAAGAGAACTCTCGGTGCAACCCTGGGCTCAGCCTCCCCAACCTTCAAGTGGAGCCAAGAAATCTCATCTTTTGGGGAGCACAAGGGGTGCTCAGCTGAGGACCTTAGGAAGACTCACCTGCTGCATGATGCCCCGTTTTTGGTTTATGGAGGCCAGGTAGCGTAGGATCAGCTTTGTGGCCTCAGTTTTTCCAGAGCCGCTCTCGCCACTGACCAGGCAAAGGGGCAGAGTGAGCTCCAGCCGGCTCACTGCCTCTCCCGGCTCCCATGACGCCGCCATGACACAAGAGGACATGGGCGGGCTGGCCGGCCCAGAGAAGCCGAGTGACCCCCCCACCCCGGCC